AAGCTCCTTCTTAAGGCTGAATAATATCCCATTCTATGTATAGACCACATTTTTTTATTCATTTGTCCATCACTGCACTAAATCTGGACTGCCTCCACCTTTTGGCTGTTTTGAACAATGCGGCTGTAAACATTGGTGTATATCCATCTCTTTTAAACACGCTTTGTATGGATATATATGTCTTTATAATTGAAACAGTTTAAAAAAAATCTAGAATAAAACATGTTTATGATCATCTTTAGGGCTGTGTTGAGGTTAGTTTATTGCTTACGCAGTCTGATCCTAATTCCTTCCTGTTTTGATTTAAGAGTTCAAGTAAAACCAGTGGTTCCAAGCAGCAGTGGACTAAGATCTTATGGTCGTGTAAGGAAACCTTCCGAATGCAACTGGGGAGACTACTGGTGCATATTTTGTCACCAGCCCACCCTTCACAAGAGAGAAAGCAAATTTTCGAAATAGTTCGTGAACCAAATCATCAGGAAATACTACGAGACTGTCTTAGCCAAAATCTGCAAGTAAGTATCTCAGTATTTCATAAGTAAAAACTATTGGTGAAACATAAAATTGCACAAAACAAGAACTGAAACTAAACTGTGGTTTCATGACAAATATCATAAATATAGTTTTCTTACCAAATATCACCTGAGGTCTTTCTTCAGATGCTCTACACCAGACTCAATTTGACCTCTGTTTATTTTCCATTTCATTTCCAGTGCTTAAAAAATTTCTGTATATGAGGGTGGCTGGTTAGCTCAGTTGGTTAGAGCGCAGTGCTAATAACACCAAGGTTGCCTGTTCGATCCCCACATGGGCCACTGAGCTGCACCCTCCACAACTAGATTGAAACAACTGCTTGACTTGGAGCTGATGGGTCCTGGAAAAAACACACTGTTCCCCAATTAAAAAAAAAAAAAAAAAGTTCTGTATATGAGTTCTTACAAGACCCATTGTAGTTTGTTACTAAATCTTGAAGTGTTTTCTTTAAGAGCTATTTGGAGACTTTTTTTAAAGCATNCATACTATTAAAAGAATTTCTTATTTGGAACTAATAGTCTTGAATAAAAATCCACTCATTAATGTGACACATGCTGGCCTAGATTGACAATACAGTCAATCTATTTATTATTTTAACTTTTATTTAAGATTTCACCTTCCCCCCTTATGCACGGGGAATATGTTCTAAGACCCCCATTGGATGCCTGAAACCGCAGATAGTACCAACCCTATATATACTATGGTTTTTCCTGTACATATACACACATTTTCACTTAAAGGAAGCACTTCACAGCTCCTCTTTGACATATTTGAATTGCTAGCATCACTACTCTTGTGCTTTGGGGCCATTATTAAGTAAAATAAGGGTGACTTGAACACAAGCACTGTGATACCACGACACTTGCTCTGATAACCAAGATGGCTACTAAGTAACTAAAGGGTGGGGAGTTTAGACAGTGTGGAGATGCTGGACAAAGGGATGATTCACTTCCCAGGCGGGAATTACTAGGAATGGTGTGCAATTTAAAACTTACGAATTATTTATTTCTGGAATTTTCCATTTAATATTTTTGGACCTCGAAGATTGTGGTTAGTTGTAACCATGGAAAGTGAAACCACAGATAAGGGAGAACTACTATAATCATAAATTCGCATGCAGTTATTGAGAAATATTACAAAGAGATCTCATATACTCTTTACCTAGTGTACCCCAATGGACCCTGTACCCAGTCTACCCCCAATGGATCCTGTAAAACTCTACCAACATCATGCCAGGATATTGAAATTGATACAGTCAAGAAACAGAACATTTCCATCCACAAGGATGGGATTTTCATCCACCTTCTGTTGCCTTTTTACAGTTACACCCACTTTCTCCCCATCCCCCACCCCTTCCTTAGTCTCTGGCAACCTCCAAAATCTGTTCTCCATTTCCATTTTCAACATTTAAAGAATGTTACATAAATGAATTATACAGAATATAGCTTTGGCTCTTTTCGCTCAGCATAATTTCCTGGAGAGCCTTCCTGGTTGCTGCATTTTTTGTTTTTGCTGAGTAGTGTTCCATAATATGGATCTACCACAGTTTGTTTAGCCATGCACCTGTTGAAAGACCATCTGGGTTGTTTCCAGTTTGGGGCTGTTACAAGTAAAGCTGTTATAACACTTACATGCAGGTTTCTGTGTGAACATAAGTCTTCATTTTCCTGGGATAAATGCCCAGGAGTGTAATTGTTGGGTTGTGCGGTAGTGTGTGTTTTGTTCTTGTTAAGAAACTGCCAAACTTTTTGAGAGTCAATGCATAACTTTACATTCCTACCAGCAATGTATGATTGATCCAGTTTTTTCCACATCGTTACCAGTGTTTGGAGTTGTTACCCTTTTTAATTTTAGCCATTCTGATAGACAGATGTGTAGTGATATCACATTGTGGTTTCAATTTGCATTTCTACAATGGCTAATGATTTATATATTTATACATAAAATATTCTATTTAGAGCAGCTGCTCAAAAGCT